TAAATTACGATCCTAAATTGTGATAAAATTTATAAAAACAAAATATCGTAAAAAAATTGATTCGACAGAAATATATTCTCAAACAAAAGATAAGACATAACTCGCAAACTGTCATTCTATCAAAATAAACTCAAATTCTCATGAATATTGTCAAAATTCATAAATTGAAAATATTTATTGAAAAACTATTAAAATCAGTAGGCATTGGGATTTTACTGCGAATATCTTCTAAGGGCCGTTTGCACCATGTCTAGTTAACGCTAACTGGAGGTACATCCTTCAGTTAAGCACGTTAACTGCTTTATCGATCACATGTTATATGATGGGTGTCGATAACGTCGATAAAGATGTTTAACTGGGAGTTAGAATTAACTAGACATGGTGCAAACGGCCCTAAGTGGTTAGAGTTATCGATCAACCACAGGAGACCTTTTTTGTATAGCGTTCAATTTCCTATAGAAATAATTGAAACTCATTTGACAATAATTATTTTTTAGTAAGTTACAAAATTCAAAACAAAAAGTTATTTTCGTTAAAATACTTAAATCTTTGACCTTGATTATCTTTTAAATGGTTACATTAATGAAAAGAGTAATGGGGCCACTTTTGTAGAGCGTTCAATTTCCTATAAACTGGTTTAAAAATCTATTGGTGATAAGATATGACCATTTTTATATGAGACTAAATTGAAAATGGAAAACTATGATGAGGATAATCTTCCTAATAAGTATACATTTTGATGGGTCTATCTCTTTTTATTCTGGTATTTAGAAGCATCGGACCAAAGTTATTATACCATTCCATGTTCATGAAAGGTATAAAAATAGGGGTATATTTTTTTCGATAGAGAACAATCTAAGGGATGAGAGCATTAAAATTCCGACTTTACTTTGTTTTGGACCACCCTAATGTATATACACGAGTTATATATTTCCGTAGGTTGTACAATGATAGCCCGGTGCGCAACACCATTGTTACGAATGATCGTTGGGGGTTTGGCACTGCGTGTCGCCATGGCGATTTTTACAATTGTCAAGATCGTTATAATCCCGGAATTCTGCAGCTACACAAATGGGAAAACGCATTTACCTTGGATAAAAGCAGCTGGGGTCAACGTTTTGATGTTACGCTAAGCGATTTTATGACCTCGGAACAACTTATCTCTGGTAATTTGAATTTAATGACTTTCGAAATATACAAAATACATAATTTTAAAACAGAAATCGTTAAAACCGTAAGCTGTAATGGCAATGTCCTCATCAATGTGGGCCCAACCAAATACGGCACAATATTGCCAATATTTGAAGAACGGCTTCGTGATATGGGTAAATGGTTGACCATCAACGGTGAAGCTATTTACGGTAGTAAGCCATGGATTTATCAAAACGACAGCACTACACCCAATGTATGGTACACACAGAAAATGGACCCAAGTAATTCAACATCAGTCATTTATGCTATTGTTTTGGAGTATCCTTATGATACAAATGAAATAGATTTGTATCCGATTGGCGATGTCAATGGGGTTACAAAGTCGAATGTGCTTTTATTTGGCTATGAGAATTTTATGACTGAGACTGCTAGAGGTGATATGAATGTTTACCTTTTGGGAATGGAGAGTACACAAATCAATGTAATAATAACTTCATTATTAACATTATTCATTCAAAACACTTATTTGCAACATAATTTTTGTCTATAAATTCTTACAGTGGACCCTACTTGGAAAAAGACTGCACATTGTATTCCCGCCAAAGAATCACATTGATAAGAATGGCCTTAAGTTCGCATGGATCTTTAAAATTATAAATAACAAGTAATTTAAAAAGAAATTTTTTGAGACAAGCTTTTATAAGTGGCTAATAAAAAAAGAAAAATCGACCCCGTACCTAACGAATAAATTCTTTGTGGAATTATTCCTTTCCATTTAAGTAATATACGTTCGCTATATGAAACAAATCGTATCATAAATAAGGGTTTTCCAAACATCTCGACTCATTCGCCACCTTTTTTTTTTGGAATTATCCTTTTTCATGTAGGAAATATACATTTTAAATATGAACCAAATCAGACCATAAATAAGGGTTTTCCAAATATCTCCACTCCTGCGCCACCTATCGGACAAAACGTTTTGTGAAGTTATTCCTTTCCATGTAAGTAGAACTCATTCTAAATATGAAAAATATGGGACCATAAATACGAGGTTTTCGAATATCTCGACACCTGCGCCACCTAGCGGATTAATATATTTTTCATATTGCATTGTAATCGGGTTCTGAGCCAAGTTTGTAGTTTCAAGTTTATAGGACACTAGCAAATTGGGTAAAAATTGATTGCAAGATTTGATTAAACACAAGCGAAACATAATAAAAGCTTATAAAAAGGGAAATAATTAGATTTAAAATAATTACGTACAAGCGTATTTATGTATGTACATAAGTATGAACATTAGGGCCGGTAATTTTTTTTTTGACTATGCGCGTATAGCAAAGGAGGATTCTATGTAAAATATATAGAAATAAAGTAAATGATGCTATTTCGTAAGTGTGGTTTCCATAGATGAAAGAGGTTATTGTGCTGTTAATCAAAACAAGATCATGAACCACCACTCATTGATTTTATTAAAAATTTAAAAATTATGAATGTAATAAAAACACGATGCGAAAAACCAAACGCAAAAAAGCTGGAATACGAGAGATATTTGAAGAAAGAATGTGGAAATGCTCCATAACTTGCAACATATATTTCGTTTCCACAAAAATAAAGCGAACACTATTAAATTGAGGAGACATGGATTGCCGCCATGTCCAAAAACCCCGGAGGAACACTAAAAGGATTGTGTTTTTAAATTGCATATTTTGAACGAATTCGGAATGTCTAAGGTGGAAAAGAAACCTTTCGTATAAAGAAACAATTATAGAAAAGGAATTTTCTTGCACTGTATTCAGTGGCCGCCAACAATTTGTGACAAGCAACTGCGGAGAACCACGACACTATTTATTAGATGGCACAGTCAACAAACAGTCAGTAAACAATTATTGATTATTTAATATCGGAGCCGAGATAATGTAAGTCCATTGATTGATTTTCACACACTTTTGAAACACAAATTATATGCTATTTTACTTCAGACAAGATGTTGCCAAAACATAGCAAAAATCTTCCAATAACTTACAAATATAAAAATGTAAAATATCGAGGGCTTATATTCAATAATACCCTCTATCTGCAATTTGCACAAAAACTACATTGTGATTACGGATGCGGGCCGCCGCTAAGTTACGCAAATTTAATGTTTGAAAGAGCAATAATGTCAATGGATTTTATTTCGCTTAGCCACAATCCGCATCAAATCAAGATTCTCCTATATCTCGCTCTTCTGTGCCCATTACCCGACGGAAGAGAAGGACGAGGCGTCCAAGGATCTCTTCTATGAGCGTTTGGAGCGTACATATGAGCGCTGCCCCCGATACGATATAAAAATCGTGCTTGGTGATTTCAATGCCAAGGTGGGCAAGGAAGGGATCTTTGGCGCCACTGTCGGAAAATTCAGCCTCTACAACGAAACGTCCTATAACGGACTGAGGCTGACCGACTTCGTTGGAACAACTGGTACGATGAAGAGCGCAGAGTAGCTGCAGAGAAAAAAGACTCGCGGGCCACCTGGAACCGTTATAGGGAACAGAAGAGGGAAGCGAGAGGTATTTGCCGCAATAGGAAGAGAGAGGCCGAAATACATAAGCGCAAAGAGCTTGAAATGCTGGCCGACGGGGAAAACGCCCGAAAATTTTATCAGAGAGTTAGGCGACCTACGGAAGGTTTCAAGACCAGAGCGAACTCTTGTAAGAACAACAATGACGACCTAGGGACTGTTGTCCGGAACGTACTCAAATTATGGAGGGAACAATTCTCCGTCGCAACTGCACTGAAAGTGGTGGAGAAGACGAACCCGAGCCCCCACTCGATGACGATGGAGTCGATGTCCCCACTGCCTGACTATGACGAGGTACGAATAGCGATTACGCGGCTGAAAAACAACAAAGCTGCTGGAGCTGAGGGCCTGCCAGCCGAGCTATTCAAGTACGATGAGCTGATAACTTCCATGCATCAACTCTTATGCAGAATATGGTCAGATGAACGCATGCCCGATGACTGAAATTTTACACAATTCACAAGAAAGGCGACCCCGCTATTCGCGCCAACTACCGAGGGATCAGCCTTCTTAGCATAAGTTACAAGGTCTTATCGAGCGTATTGTGTGAAAGACTAAAGCCCTCTGTCAAGGAAATAATTGGGCCTTATCAGTGTGGCTTTAGACCTGGCAAATCCACCATAGACCAGGTATTCACAAAATGCCAAATCTTGGAAAAGAGCCCCGAGAAAAGGATCGACAATCACCACCTATTAGACGACTTTAAAGCCTCTTTCAACAGCACTAAATGCAGTTGCCTATACGCCGCTATGTCTAAATTTGGAATCCCCGCCAAACTCTTACGGCTGTGTAAAATGACTTTGAGCAATACCTATCCGAGCCGTTCGCCGCAAAACGGGGTTTCAGACAGGGCGACTCCTTTTCATGTGACTTCTTTCATCTGAAGTTGGAAAAGATAATAAGAGTCGCAGAAAAGATAAGAGCGGCTCGGGCACAATTCTTTACAAGAGCGTACAATTTATGGCGTATGTCGGCGATATCGATATTATCGGCAAAAACAAGGGCTTCGTCTGTTCTGCCTTCTCGTTACTAGATAGTGAAGCAAGGCGAATGGGCCTGGTGGTGAACGAGGAGAAAACGAAGTATCTCCTGGCATCACACAAAAAGTCAGAGCATACGCGTCTTGGTACACACGTCACTGCTGACAGTTATGAGTTAGAAATAGTAGACAACTTTGTTTATTTGCTATGTACTGCTGCATGTGAAAAAATTTCCCTTATGAACTTTATTAAATTTTTCCCATGTAATCGAACTTTCTTAAGCTTTAATTAGATGGCACTTCAAAGTATGCTCCGCCCAGTCGGATACATTCTCCGGACACTGCTTCCGGAGCATTTTGCGTACTCTTCATGGCTTACAACCATGCAGAGGTGGTAAACGAACTTTACCATTGGCTACAGTGCCTACATACATACATACATACGTGCAAACATACTGGTCTCCCCTCTCACTGAGTTATTCACCAGTAGTAATGCCAGTCTTGAAATCCAACGGAGAATCACTGTTACCAACAGGTGCTACTTTGGACTGCGTAGGCAATTGAGAAGTAAAGTTCTCTCTCGCCGTACAAATACCACACCGGTGGAGTGCAGTAACGCCCGCGCCTTTATTTCCTAAACAAAAAAATAAAGCCCGCGGGCGTCATTTCCATTTCGAAGGGGAAGAAGCGCCCACCAATAAAAGGCAATAAAGACCGCGGGCTTACGCCGGAAAATTTATTTGTTGTATACATACATATATTATTTAAATGCTCTATATGAATGTACGACGAGGAGTTGGGGTTGTTTGTGTACCAACGCCGCAGAAATACTGTGGGGATGTGGATAACGCACGGGTTGTTTTAACTGAGAAGGCGACTTAAAATTTTCGAAAACAACAAAAATGAGTAAAGGGCAGAATAACATAAATCAGCCGTGGTTAAGTGGTTTGTGTGACATCAAGGCACACACCGCACAGATTGCTTTGCAGAGCACAGTAGGCGTACTAATCTAAATGGCAATACAAGCATTTTGTGTCCAATTTATTCGAAATTTGACGAAAGTATTTATTTAACTTTTTACTTTTTCATGTTCCTTGTTTTTGTTTAAGCTTTGAATTATGTAAATTTCATACACATTTACATACATACATATCGTCGCTGCGCCAACAAAAACTGTTATGTGATTTTTGTAAATTATTATTTTTTATTGCATATTTTATTAACACTATCTGTTGCCCACATTTCTGCATTTGCCGTTTTCTTATATCTCTTTTGGTTTAGAACTGATCAAAAACAGCTATGTGCTCGCAGTACTAAAAATACTCTGAAAAAACACGGGCATACGCTTACTTGCTCATAACTGTTTTTGATCGTAGATGAGTGTGCTTTGATTTCGATGAAAAAAATAATTATAAACCAACTAAATACATACATACATATCTATGCACATACCACTTACACTACATAGATTAAACTATTTAATTTGATCGCTTGCAATTTGAGTCCGACAATTAACTAAGGTAAAAAGTGTGGAGGTAGACAGCGTCCACTCTACATTAGAAAATGTATTCAATCCACCGATATATTCACCAACTCGTACGCGACAGGCGAGGCCATCACATCCTTATATTGTTAATTATTTAGAGTATACATATGAAATTATTTCTTGTATATACGAGCTCTCATTGGATATCACCTATCGAAACTTTGAGAAAGTGCATTGGGTCAAGTTAATACGCTGACCGAAAAAACAGTTCGCATGTCTGGCAATTTCATGGTTTGTACAAAGTTTGTGTCCACTCATCACTTTGCATTAATTTTTATTACAAAAATCCAATAAAAACGTTTCTGACCATTTTTCATTACATAACAGGAGCAACGGCAGTTAAATAATCGCGTCCTCAACTTCCATACATTGCATCTAGGCCTAACGGCAGTATTATGTACAAATTGCATACGATTCCATACCGCCAAAAGCAAATTTAAATCGTGTATAAAAACAGCTATGTGCTTTAAAGCGGCGCAAATGTTGATCACGTCGTAATTGGTCAAAAAAATTGACTTTTTTTCCTAAATCACTGGCATATTTTTAAAATAATTTTTTTTAATACCACACTTGCAAAATATTGCCTATTGGCACCAGGAATCAGTTTTTTTGCTCTCCTGAAAAGTTATTAAAAAACACATAACTGTT